TGATCTCTGTTTGCTGAACATACCACTTCCATGAAGAGAAGTTAGTTTCCCCAAGTAACCAAAAGGAAAATATGCCCCTTGGTGGGTTTTTTTTTGTTTTTTTTTTTTTTTTTGGTATTTCTATGATGACATTTTAGTGATTGAATTATTTTTTTCTTCTGAGTGTACACCAGTTTGTCTGCACAGTGTAAAGGTGTTATCCATGTACCCTCTCAATAATCTTGTGGTAGCAGGAGAGCACTGGGACTGACACATCAGCACTCTCAGGACAAGGACATTCAATTCCTCTCTGGGCATCATCTGTAGTAGCAAAGCCAAAACTGAAAGTAAAACAGTAAAAGATACTGGCTTTGAGTTTAGAAACTCCTGTTTGACCCTTATGGGTTCTTCTCTTCCAGTGTGTCAGGAGCATCACAAAACTTCCATTAACATTTTGCTGGACACAACAGCCAGACCTTTTCCCCTAAGCATTGCCACTGAGTAATTGTGGGKTATTAGTCAACATATTACATCTTAAGGCACGTATTGTCCCCTTCTCTCATTTTTCTAAAATCTTGTTGATCTTGTTGAAAGCTGAGTGCTGYATCCTGATGCATGAAGTACACTCTGCACTGTCTGTGTATTCTCTCTTGCCTGGGGCAGGAGGGTGGGGTGTTGTTATGTGCCTAACCACTAACTGCAGAAAGTTTTAAAATCTGCCCACTTCAGCATCAGCCTAGGGCTGTGTTTTTGCTGGCTGCAATTCACTTTTCAGAAAGATGTTCTGACTTGCTTGTAGCCATGTAAATATACCAAGGGAAGGACTTTATAGACCAGTTTACTATAACAAAACCTGTCCTTGGGAGATGGATTCTGTTCTCATAATGGTGSAAATGCATGGTAACTAACAGTGGAGTCTCTAGAATGACATCAGCATAAGCTAAAGCAAAAGATAAAGCTCCATTTTTTTTGACTTTTCTGCTTTACATCTGTGGCTTGCAATTTTCAAAGTACCTGTCTTGAAAAGAAAAACTGCCTGGATTTATTGTAGCTGAGGGGCACAGCAATTTGCCATTACAAAAGATAATGTAAGACCCAGGCAGGATGGGCAGCATAGTTGTGCTGCATGTTTGAATAACCAAGTGGGTGAGGCACAGTGCTAATAAAAGGGGYTGGCATACAATTGTCTCTTATTTCTGTGTCTGTGGGATTTTCTCTGATATAGCAAGCCAAAGATTACAGTTTGAAGTCTTTATGAGACTGTAGCGGACAAAGGAAACAATAAACAGACCTTCTGTGTTCTTGCTTTGCTGGAGAACTGATTGATCATTATTTTAAGAAAATTCAAGCCTTTTAAATCTAAGCCCTTACCCAAACTAGTACAGCTTTTCTCATCAGTGGTGGCCTGAGCATATTTTTGTTTTTAAAGTATTTGAATTGTAGTTGAGCTTGAAGAGTTGTTTCATTTTCTCTCATACCTGATATAAGTTTGCTCTGTGTTGTGTACGTGTAACTCTTGTGTTACTCACATTTCTCTGTACTGATGGAATAGGTGAAACTGAAAAAGTGAACATGGGTTATTTGCAAGTGCAGACGAGCTGGTTTGAGCAGTTACCYATAGTTTGGAGGCTTTGGTGGGACCCAAAGTGGATTAAAGTKATGTACCAAACAAGTAATCCAGTGAGCAAGTAAGCACAGATACAGACTTTTTCCTGAACTTCTGGGGTTTCACTGTTGCTCTGAGTGCAGACATGAGTGAGTAGTGTCCRTCATCACCTCAGAAGCCCCACTTGGTTATTTTTTGGTTTTAGAACAAATAACCATTCTTCCAAGCACACTCTACCACACTGCAGCATCAGTGGGCAAGGTTTAAAAATACACTTCCTCCCTGGAAACGAATTAGATCATTTACCTGAGACTAGCAAAAGCCTTATAAAGTCAAAATTAGAAGTCTTTTCCTAAGTATGAAATACTGAAGTGTTCATGGCAGTTTTCCATATCTGGATACTGCTGAGAATAAAGTCAGAACYAGAGAGCTGAGAATTCAATGTAGCAATATTGTCAGGCACTGACCAGCCCCTTATTTTGCAAATCAGGCTCACATCTCACTGATGTGAGAGTTGGCTTAAAGCTCTTTCCTGATYTCCATACAGTTAATAACAGATGTAACATTTCAAGTGTGCATGATCATTGTGAGATGGGGGCTATATCTGAGTATTATTTGTTCA